ATGTTTTATAATTTTCTATTTATTTTCTTCTCATGTCTTCTATTAAGCAAATGATGCTTAAAATTGATGATAAATAACAACTCTTTAGACATTTTTAGTTTTTTTCCATTAAACAAATATGAAAACAATTAATAACGATTAAAATCAATGTCTTAATTGAAAATATCGATCTCTCTATAACTCAATTCAATCATTTCTTTTATACTAAACAAATGTTTAAATCCTACTATTCTTTGGAGAATTTCTAAGGCTTTCATTCATTAGTTAGCTTTTAAAGCGTACAAAACTCTTATATGTTATGTAATATTTTTAACCACAATTCAGATATGAATGTGGTTTATAAGATCGTCCGGCCACCCCTTCTCCCTCCACCCTCCTCGTCTCCGCTTTATGGGATTTAACATGGCATCCCAGCTCAAGTCTATGGCTATACTTTAACATGGAGTTCTTCACTCTATGGGGATTTAACATGAGATTACATTTTAATCTATGCCTATACTTTAATATTAGTAATGCTAAGTCTATGGACAATGCTAATTCTATGGGTAACGCTAAATCTATGGCAATGCTAGGCCTGTAAGACTCATATTGAATGTTAAGATAATGCTAATCTATTCATAGAGCATCACCCGAATTGTGGTTAACGTATAGCATTGCTGTGTGGACCTTGTTTATTTTTTGGTGAATTCTGTGCAGAACTGAAACGCTTTTATATGTGAAACTATAGTTGCATTCATTGATTGTTTCAATTTATTATTACACGAGTTTTCTGTGCAAAATAACTCCGAGTTTTCAGTTTTAATACTTTTGATCGTTAATCACATATTCATTCATTGCATTCGCTTTTCTTTCACTCCATTTCTAATCCTTTATTCATTCAAATTAATGATAATTTAGATGAAAATTCTTTTCCATTGCTTTGCATTTGTGTTCGGCTCTAAAAATATGAATCCTAAAAATGTTTTCACGACTTAATGTCATTTGTTATTTGTTTTGTTAAGAATGTGTAGCAAATAATTTGAAACATTATTTCTCGCAAATTCTGCTCTCATTTATTATATAATTTGAGAATTTATTTCATTTTTTATTCAATGGCTACCAAATTGTGTCCGCAATCTGTTTTCAATGGTCTTTTTTCTTGTAAAACATAACACATATGTTTGGCTACTTATGTGAGGCACTGGTATCCATGCAATAGAGTCCCCACTCTCTCCATACTATCAGTCATCCATATTTCAAATTGAGTCCAATATCCCGAACGGTTAGCTTTCATTTGTTATTTCGCCAAAACCTTATGGTATTAATCAGAGAATATGTGATACAATGGCAGCGAAAGTGAGAGCTCATACATAGAGGCCATTAGTTATATGTGCCATATCTGGCGTTCGCTCGTGCAATGCCTTATGATTATGCTTACGCTTAGATCTTACTATTATTCTGTGTTATTCTGTATTATTCTGTATGTGTTTTGAGTATTGTTTCGTTCACTTCTTTTATTCAACACAAATGTTTGCTTTGGTTTTGCTCTCAAAACAATTCCTTTGCCTTTCCTTCAGCTCTCATAACGAATCTATATTTCTGTAGTGTTTGTGAGTTTTGGTTGTCATCCAGTCTTCAATATATTCTTCATTATTTGATTTATGTTTTTCCAAATCTATTCGCAGTATAACTCACTCTCTCATCAAACGCTTTATTTGCCAACATTTGTATTGCAATCCGTTTCTCTATTTCTTTGTCACACTCTTAGGATGTGATCTGTTTTTCTCATATATTGTAACTTATTTTATCTTTTTATTTTTTACTCATCTTTTATCATCAAAATAAATGTTTGTTTTTATTTCAAACACTTAAGCTTTAAATTGAATTTCAATATAACTGTATTGTCTTGTTATTGTGATTACATTAAACAGATGTCCGTGTCGTCCACTGTTGATAATTGTATTAAATTTAAGTCTTTTATCAATTCTTTATAAAAATAAATGATAAAAAACTCTTAAATAAAAATGTGTTGACAGAAATGATGAATGACTGGCAGCGCATGGTATTAATGAATTGAATGTAAATTAACGCACTTTTTGTATTAAGAAACAAGAAATATGTTGTGATGTTTGGTATGGAAGTAATGGAAATAAGATTATATGTTGTGGTAATAATTGGTGAATACAATTCATTTACGGCTCATATTTTTTGTGCCCCAAATGACGTATATTTGGTCACATTTTGCTGCAGAGGTTGGTTAGCATTAGGTATACAATACAGTACTATATATAAGCAATAGGGAGGAGAAGACGTGTTATTCCGTAATTTGATGAACAAAACCTCCTGAGAGTCGACGAAATCCTAGTTTCTATTGTGTGTATCGAAGGGAATGAGAAGAAAATTTTATCAAAAGGACATTCTCTTAGATATAAGTTGTCATTTAGAGTTACATCTCATTTGCAATAACGGATAAGGACTGAGTAAAGGATGAATAGGAGCTCTGAGTCTTACTATTTGAGTGCTTCTCGTGTCACTCACTTAACTATACTTAACCATCGGTTTGTGTCTACAGTACTGTATATTCTTGTATATTCTCTATTCATTGAGCGTATCTTAAGTGCAAAGAATAATTTCAATACATATTTTTCATGCATTCATTCGCTATTTCTATATCTCTATTATTTGAATCATTTTTATCTATTAGTTTTTTATGCGAAATCACTAATTGAATATATAAATGGTTAGAAAATTTAATTTATATGTTAATTACAATAAATAATTTAATAAAGAAACCAATGTTTGCTATTTTTGTTTTTGGCAATATTTAATAATATTAAAGTGAGTTTTGCTGTATTTTACATTCACTAGTCGTTCGCTTCACATGTTTCTCCTTTTGTTTATTCAGTCAACAAATTCACAATAAAGACTAAACTAGTATTGAATTGAAAAATATTTATCATTCAATTTGTTGTATTTTTCAGCCAATACTACACTTGCAATGCCTTTAATCTCCATTTTTTGTGCACAAAAACTGATTGAATTGCAAAAATATTCTCTCGTTTTCATTGATTTAAGGAATCAAAAATTGAATTTATGTTTTGCCACACAATAGCTATGCTATGCTTTGTTTGCAGCAAATTGTTTGTTACGAAGCGAATGAAATCAAAGAATGAATTTATTTTAAGTAAAATATTATTAAATGTAAACTTTTTAAAAGAAAGAGCACTAAATAGGATGTGAAATAATAGGATGTAAAATAATTTGCAATTCATATTCTAATATAATTATGCAATTTGTAAGACAAACATTGTTTTTTGAAAAATGTTTTTGTAATAAAATTAGAGAATTTATTTATTGTCACATAAAAAAGATAAAACACAATATTAACGTCAATACGTGTCTCAATTTTGAAAGTAATTTCAATGAATTGAAGTCCAAAAACTCTATTAGTTGTATAATATTGTCCTCAAGTGACTCTCCATGAAAGCCGTTCCCCAACGTTAAGGTGTATCGCATAAAATCCAATGGAAATAATTGTAACTCTAGTGAAAATCCAGTGGAAATCTAGTGAAAATTCATCCCAACTTTACGTCTCTCTTATTTATTTATAAGAGCCGTGCATTTGATATGCTTTTGTGTTTCATTTTAGTACTTCACTGGGAATCCAATACTTAACTCAATCTAATACAACATTTATTCGGCCAAACCGTACGTCAAGAGTAACTCATCTGTAGTTAACGAAAAATATCATTCACTGTATAAAACTCTCATATTTTACTCATTTTCTCGAAATTCACTCATAAATTCAAAAGTAAATTCTTATTTATTTATATAAATATCAACGAAAAATCGATTTCACATTTTTTACATTAAATTATAATTTTAAAAATATATATACATGTAAGTATATTAATATTTAACTAAAAACAAAATTTTCTCAAGTGCTAAATGAATTGAAATTTTACTGAAAACCTTAGAATCTGTTTTAATCCACTTCTCGTCAATTCAATTATTTAGAGACAAAAAATGAAAAATATTTATTTTGTAAAAAATATTTTCTGTTGAGTGAAATCATTTGACATTAATATAAAGTGAATCGAAATTTATCCCATGAGAGAAAACTCTCTAAACTTTGTTTTATTATAAAAAACAATATACAGTACTGTATATCTTCACTGATAGAGCGGTTCAACTGATTTGTGAAATATTCAAAACAAGAATCGAAATATTGGGCACAAGTTTATCGTTTCCTTCAGATATTTGCTTTAAAAATAAAGCACAAAATCAATACTCGTTTCAATAATGCCTTTACTTTTGTATTTTTCGTTGAGAGTGTCCTCTAATTCTTGTTATATAAAACCTCACTTTTATGTGCGATAGAAATATGAATTTTCATAAATTCTAAGCAGATTTCAGTGAATAATATTCACTGAATATATATCTCTTAATCAGTTGTCTAAATATTTTTGTTGTAAATAATAACTGGATTTTCAAGAAAATATTATTTACTGAAGAACTCTTTTTTGAATAATAAAGCAATATTCAGTCTATGCGTCGATTTAAAACATTCATCGATTTTATCATTAAAATAGTTGAGCACATGATATGCCAGTACTTTGAATGAGCGGTATTCTCAATGACACCGAAGGATCCAATGATATTCTAATAATGTATTACAGAATATATATAAGCCATTAGTCGTATGCATGAGATTTACTGTCAATAAAATGCAATAACGAGTGCATGAGATGGAGACCGAAGACCATAGAGTAAGTGCCAGTAGTAGCGCAATAAGACGTGTCTCGTAATCTCCTAATGCCTGTGGCATTACATCCATCGAGTGATAAATTATTTGCAATAAATTGCCAAAAGTATGCACTCATTATTCTTCAACACATTTTTTTGTAAACTTAAAAATTTCACTCAAACTTTCCAAACACTTTTTGCCAACACTTTTTAAGCGTGAATTAAATGTGTGTTTAAAATCGTATTATTAAATGTATTGAAAGATCCTTTGAGTCATGAAAACGTATTTTCTTTATGTCTATTGATTTTTATGGGAATGTTTACAGAAAAATATTACAAAACCTTTAGCATCTTCTGCACCATTTGTTGCCATCCCTTTGCTTTCGGGCAATATTTTTAATATCACAGAATCATTGCATTTATTGCACGCATTCACTGAATCTTTTGCATTGAATGACCCCCTCATGAATGCCATCAATTGCTTCTTCACTTCACCCGCTCTTCAATTGGTTTTTATATTTGAATCAATTTTCAATTGAATAATAAAAACGCTGTTTTGATCTATACTTTCCCATAAATCATCCAAAAGTTTTTAAAACGAGAAAAAAATTATTTTCAAAAAACTTTAATGTCTTTATTTTTCAAAAAATATAGATTAAACAAAAAGTAAAGCGAATCCCAAGAGAATGTGGTCTCCGGTGCAGGCGGTGGGCGTGTTGTCCAACCATAACAAGGGCTCACCGGTGGCCCGAAGTAAGCACGCGATGTGTGTCACACATGACGGACACATCTATCTATACGGCGGTCGCAGCGCTAATCTGCCGCTCAAAGACTTGTGGCGTTTCGATGCCGGACAGAACCAATGGGAGGAAGTCCTCTGCAGAGGACAACTGCCCCCTAATCTTCAGGAGCACACAATGATTGCTTGGAATGTAAGTCATGTACGGCTCAAATGCCAACTCGTAATTACTTTTTTCTCTTTCCCCTCAAATAACAATAATCTTATGATTTATTTCCAATTCTTCCCATTTATTCTCTGATATGACTCTGTTTTTGTGGATTGTCTTCATATAACAGAACAAACTCTATGTATTCGGCGGTGAAATCGGTTTCTCATCCAACGGAGAGACACCGCTTTGGATATTAGATTTGTGTGAGTATTGTATTGTATAACATATTTTAGTGGTTCTCCACACGATTCTCGCTATTTTCCACATTTATTTCATAAAATATTTCTCTCTATATATAAATCAAATACAATTTAATATAAATGTTTATAGAATTGACTGTTTGTTTAGGTTTCCGTTAAATTAAATTAATTTCTAATATTTTTCCGTAAATTCCGCAAAAAATTGCTTTTATTTGTAAAGAAAAAAATTATGTTTATTTTAGACGACATTTTCGATCATAAGAGTCAACATTTTATGCATGCATTTAAGTTGTGTTAAACACAATGCGATAAATAAGTTGTCAAATATTGTGAGAGACTATTGATGCAAACATTATTCATATTTAATGCAAACACAGCGACAACCACTTGGAGAAAGACGTCTAATCCATTGCCGTCAGCGTCGCCGGCAATGGCGCCCACAGGCAGGAGAGGCCACACAACTGTCTTATATGGCGATGCGATGCACGTCTACGGAGGCTATCAAGACCTCCGCGGGTCGTCATCTGAGTTGTGGACATTTGATTTCAGTAAGTCTTAAATTGCATAAGCATTCACTTGATATGCTTTCCCTTCCATTCTCTTTCTTCATTCCTCACTCTCAACGTTCAGATCATTGTCTGAACAGAAGTTAAGACACAATTCGTGTCTTAAGTGCAATATCTATAACGAAAACTGGTTTAGAGACGAAAATTTCAGTTCAACTAAACAGTATATATAGTATAGTATCTCACAATCGACTGACCATTTCTCATGAGATGTGTTATTGAATTAAAGTCAATGAGTTATAAACTATCTATACGTGGAAAAGACTAATGGCTTTAATGGCCAGCAATAGAGTCACACCAATCACTGTAATACCGGACAGGAATTGCTTTCGGAGCACATTTTAAAAGCATTACATTTCGCACAACTCATAGATTTAGTGAAAGTTTGCAATTCATTAAATTTGTTGTCTCATCAGTAGTCGTCTTATCCACTATTTTTGCTCATTTTTCTCTCTTTTTTTTTATCTCCTCTTCTATTAGACTAGACTTTAATAAAGCAATTCTTGCGATCGAAAAGTATTGATAAGATCTTTGTGAGCGAAATATTTGATTATTTCATATATATTTGAGTGTTTTTGTATTTTAGGAAAAATCATTAAATAAATGAAAAAAGAAGAGTTCTAATAGTGTTGCAGATGTGAGGGTAATGTTTAGGGGCTGTGATAGGGGTTGTGTTGGTCTCCAACTGGAAGCTTGTCTTTTGATTTAGATGTAGAGACTAACGGAAAGTAAGATAAATTAATCGATTTATTTTGAGTGCATATATACTGTACTGTAGTCTTCCTTTAGCCCCGCATTCAATATACGACATGTCAGTCATATATACATACATACGACACGAATTTAATTCACTTCTTTGTCGAAGACTACATGATCTCTAACGCGAATCCAAGAGGTTTTGTGGGATATCCACTCTCTTTCACACTCCCTGTCCTCTCAGGAGTATTCAACTTAAAGCCTCGCTTTTTGACTGAAAAAGAAGTCAAACCTAATGGTGAGGTCGTGTAGATCTGACTCTAGCGATGAATGAATGCTGGCATTAGTCTGTATATCATAATACGTAAGATGCGAGCCGTCAGTCCTGCCGGTGCTGTTGTTTATCACTTCTTGAGATTAATGTTTTCCATTAAATTTCTATTAGAAGACGAGAAGATTTTTTTCAATAAACAACAAATAACATGCAATATATGAAACATTCATTGCTATGTTTTTTGGTTGATTAAATTAATACTATATTTGATTGCAAATTATAGAAATGATAAGAAAATGATTTTCATTTCATTTAAAATAATTAGCGTTAACTGCAAATAGTATTGTGCGAGTGATTAGCATTCAATTCACTATTTTGTCATTTAGTCCAACGAGTCGTTCATTTATTGACGACTAATGAGAATAGAGTCAAGAATTTAATTGCATTTTTATGTTGACTTTGACTTCAATTCTAACTTTATGTCCATTAATTGCAATGCATTTTCACATTTGAAATCTAATTATTTTTCGTTAGACATTCAAACATTGATACAAATAATTAATTGTCTATTTTCTGAAAAAGTAAACCCCAACTATCCAATGGTCAGTCATCGCATTTAAGCCTTTTTTTTGGTAACATTGCAATTAAATAATGGATTTTTATAGGATTTTGCGTTAAGTGTCGGATCGTTAGTTACATTGAAAGCCAAGAATCACTGTTATGTTAATGACATCCAAACAGAACTTTGCATTTATATAATGTTTGAAAATCACTACAATATTTGCTGTACTCACCAATGATTACTTTCGAGAGTAACCCTATTCTTTTACACATTATATCCTACAATGTACTTTCTCTCTCTCTCTCTCTCTCTCTCTCTCTCTCTCCATGAATAATATACTAGATTTTTTTTGCATAAAACAAAAAGCAATTTACACCGGAATTATACTAATTAATAGTTATCTTGATTTTGAGTTTTGTCATAACCTTTGATATTACTAACAAATAATCTACAAATCATTTGTGATTAAACTTTTATTTTTAATTCATTCATTAAAAGGTATGATTATTATCTAATTCATTGATATTCGTGACAAAAGCGGCATTACGTGTGACTTCTCAATCATGCCTAATATGATATCCCATTTGATTACAATTACTACTGCTTTTTGTGGCCACAAAAACATGCCTTGAAATGAGCCAACAATACTGTATTAATAAATATTTTATGACTTATGGCCTATATTTATACTCCAATACACAGAATATAAAATCAATTCATTTATACAACAAATAGACTTCATCTAAAAGACTAACACAAATAGTAGATAAAGAAAATAAGAAAATTATGTTACGATTATATACAGTATGTATTAATGCAGTGCTAACGGGGAATAAGAAAGTCTTCATAATATAAAAGCCTATCGTTGGCCACGAATTCACAATCAATTTATAAATTATAATTTGATGCCTTATTTACGGCGAAGAAGTGAGCGATGACTGCACTCACGATTGCGACCAAAAACAAAACTATACATTTATTTGGCAAAAATTGATTAGTTTGTGATCGGATTATAGAGTAGTATACAGTATTGTTGGATACAATTTGAAAACATATCAATGGAAAAGTTTATAAACACAATAGTTTCGATCGTTTTATTCCTTGCAAATATAAAAATCATTTACTTTTTCCTGTAAAAAGGAAATCATAAATTTATTTAATTATTGCCAGTATTTAAATGTAATTCTATAAAAACATAAGAAAATGTATATTGCATTATAAAAGAGTTGCGTTTAATTTCACTGATTGAATCCATTCATGAAATGTTCAATTCATTAGATTTAGATTTGATTAGTTATATTGAAGTAATAATTTTGTTTGAAGCCATCGATTCTCCAGAGTTTAGTATATAACTCGATTGGATCGACATTTATTGCCATCCATACCATCAATCAGACGAGTCTTTACTCTCGTTTATTGGACTCAAGAGATTGGTTGAGTCCAAGTGTTAATTCTTTTAATTATTCTTCTCCTTCTTCTTTCACAACACTATAATTCCTCTGCAATTCGCGTCCATTTTCACGACATTATATACCCTATTATTATCTCAAACATAATCATCAGAATATTCTTTTGTTATCATTGATGGCAAATATTAACTATAATTATGATAATCATTTGTATTATATGTCAGCTAAATATTGTATAATATTTTCGTTCATTAATTTTGATTTATGGCTTTACTTTTAATATGTTTTATATTATAATGAATTTAAAAAAACTCATGAATTTTATCAATCAATTCATTAATTTGATTAATCTGCACAATAAATGAGAATTTGTACAATTAAATGCAAATATAAAAGAGGCTTTGCATTATATATTTAATAATCTTTTGTGAGCATTAAATCTATTAATTTGCAAATTTTTAAATGAGATTTAATTTTCTAGTCACAGAACAATGGCATCTAATGAGTAGCCCGACCTCATCCCAAGACCACCCGCCCTCGAGACACACCCACTCAGCCGTTATGCATAATAACTCAATGTATATCTACGGAGGAATGACTGATTTGATTGTGAGATCAGATTTTTGGAAATGGGATTTCCGTAAGTATTGCATATAAAACACTACAGAATATCACTATATTATTACATTATTTTTTTAATTTAATTTTTAAAACACCCAATAAATAGGGACCAGACGTTGGCATCGGATTAAGGCAAATAAAAGTCCCGGTGAATTGTCCGGACACACAGCTATTGAAGCGTTTAATTCAATGTTCATTTTTGGTGGTGAAAAATCGGGAACTTTGTTACGAGACTTATGGCGATATCATTTCAGTAATTATCAAAACGATTCCTAAAAACAGCATATATTTAATGTAAATGACATGCAATTTGCAGAGACCGAGCACTGGGAACGCGTCAATGCAGAGGGAATTATACCCAATTCTCGGTGCAGACACGTGGCAGTGGTTAATCCATTCCTCGACATTGCCAAAGAGATTGAAGAATGTAATAAAAATAGTAATAATACTAATAGTAATAATAATAAGATTCTTCGTTTGAGTTCAAAATCCAATTGCATAACGAGATCTCAGAGCGACAGTAAGGCATTGGTATCGGCGCCACAGAAATCTATATCCATGTGTTTCGGACAACCGACTGATACACCGCTTCATGAAAACGGAAAAGCATTAAAACATTTCAAATTACGAGTCCATCCAATGTCTGGCTTTTGTAGCGGAAGAAGCGCTACACTCTCTGATGATGACGAAGAGGTGGACAATGGGATCAATACTCTTGTTAACGAGAACTTTGGCGCAGACTTTGAGAGTCGCAATCCTCAGGTGACTATGAGGTAAGTCATAGATGCGATTGAATGCAATGAATATCATATATTCATAACATTTTTGTTTGAATAATAGAAAAAGTCTTAAGGAGAAGATATCTCGAAGTCGTCTCGTGAGAAGTATTTCCACCAATAGTTACAATATTTTACACCAAAACATAATATCTACCGAAGAATTAAAGGACGAATTGGAGAAATTAGTGGAGGAATCGACGCCTCAAATGCAGAGACCGAATACAATGACCAATAAAACTGATGGCAATTATCATCGCTTGAAGAATCGGACAAAAATGCCCAAATCTATCAGTTCTAACGCTGTCTTAGAGTCTGACAGTGAGTCTTCCACTCCACAGCACCGCTCAAACCGTCCGCTCTCTGAAGTCATACAAACCCAGTCTGTGGTCACACCTCTCGAAGACGACCTCAAGTGGATTAAGAGACGCACTGTTCACGAGTCGATGTCATACTATAGTCTTTGTTTTCCTTCGCCACCGAATCGCAGTAAAAGCGGTTCCGAGTCGTCGACCACTTCTATTGATAATAACATCACTGGACAACAACTGCCCAATCGTTTCATTCCTTCCAGTTTTGACAGATCTCTATCAGAGTTTGACGAAGACTTAGAAAATTTACAATTAATTGGAAATATTCGTCCGATTGATGACAAAAGTCTCTCTCCCGAAGAGAGCACATCCACATCGACTCCACTCATCGAACTGGACGACCAAAACGCCAATATTATGACCATTTCATCGCCGGTTGAATCGGTTGAATGCCGACCGAAGTCTAGCGGATATAACTCTTCGCTAACGCTTTACACACCAAGTGTTGAGAGCAGAGGAATCCCTCACTCGGTATCTCACAGTTCGGGTTACCATTCATTCACCGACGAAGCCATGTATGATCACAGAGAGTTTGCCGGTGTTCTGCAGACTTCTGCCATTCCTCGTCGTATGTCCGGCCGAACCACCAAAGATCTGATGGAACTCAAGAACTTAAGCGCAAGACTTGGCGAACAGATTCAGATTCAAAGCCAAATCGCTGAAAACGGGAATCCAGTGACTCTTAGACTCAAAGAAAACCGTGAGAACAGTAGAGCCCGTTCTTGGGATAGGGCTTCCAACAGACGGGACGGCTATCTTAGCTCCAGAGGCACAATGACTAATGGCTGTGAGAGTGCAAAGATCTCGTGGCAGCCAAACATCAATGTCATCAAAGAGGTTGTGGTTCCGGCCTCACCGGCCAGTCGTAAGTGGTCTTACAGTCCGGCCAAATCCAAACTACATCAACACCATTGGCAGCTCTGTATGTATATCTTCGGCGGTAAAGAGGATGGCGTTACCGGAGTATACAAACAGCCGATGACTGTCTGGAAGTTTTATGTGTGAAACCAATCAAACGTTTATCTCGATTACAAAATATTGTATTAATTGTGTTAAACATATTATTTGTCTGTTTTTTATTAATCAGTTTTAAACTGATTTTGAGGACACGATTCAATGCATACATGAAATACTCGTTTAATTCACATCTCACTCCTTATATACTATTAATTTGAAATTAAATTAATTGTCATAATTTGCAACCAATTTACAAATACCCTATAAATGTTTGTTATAATCAAATTAATTATCAATTAGATTATGATTAAAAAACACCAAACAATTTGTCTTTTTAGTGGTGCTCTAGTATTGAATTAAATCTCAAAATCAATTTACAATAATATTTGTTTCAAAAGTGAAACAAAAATTTGTTATAAATACTAATTAGAGCTTTAAATTGAATATCAATTGAGGGAAAGAATATATCGATTATACATAATATCTATACATAACATGATTATTAAATTAAATGAATTGATGTACAAAATTATCATTACATTTACGTTAGGTGTAGAGTATTTAGTGATTGAATCTGTTTTTGAACACAACAACCAAATCCTTTTTCTAATGTGAGTTCACTATAATATATACACAAATCTATATATAATATATCGTCACTCAAAGACCATTTCTAAGATATTTTTTAAAGACTCAATTAATCCGTTGGATCTAATCGTGCAATCAATCCATTCATTCATAACTAATAATAAGTTTTCATATATTAATAATTAGTGCAATATTTTACAACATTTTATTAATTCATATCATTTGTTGGTTTTATCTGTTTTTGTTGTTTTTATTACTATTAATACATATATTATTTATAATTAGTTAATATTAGTTATGATTTGTTAATTATATAACATTACGATAATTATGTTCACAATTACTAAGTTTTGCATAATTATTGTCCACAAAAAATTCACCAAAATATTATTCAATAAAAACGTGTTTACACAAAAAATACATTATAAATAATATATAAAAATGTAATTAAATATATTAATCATTAATAATAAAGAAACTCATTATTAAATCAGTTGTCTATTAATATAAAACTTATAAAAACTTTTAATTCAATTAAAACTTCAACACAAATATTATTTATTACAAACTTAGCGCCAATTAATTCATAAGCAAAACGAAATATTAGTACCTTTTTATAGCCAATGCTTGCATTCATTACACACACTATCCATACGTTATTTATGGCAATAAAATGGTCCCAAAGTGTAGCACAAAGGGTGAGTCTAACCGGCGATCGATTGTATCGATTAATCGCTTCATTCAATGTCTTCTCGTGTGTGAAGTCTTTTGTGAAGCGTTTGTTGTCATCAATTGATCCCATATTTGGTGTCATCTCTTGAGTCACTCCATCGCCACAACACATGCAAAGAGGAGGGTATCAGCCGATGGCGAGTCCGTCACCAATGATGGCCACACCGGGTGGCGGACCCATTGGACCCATGAATGCCTCGCCTTCAGTGAGCGGCCAACCCATGCCTCCCGTCAACAGCGGATCCACTCCTGCCGTGAATCCCGCTCTTCGCGGACCACTTATGGGACCGCAGCGTATGTTTCAGAGCCCGAACCCACCCGCGGGTTACGGACCCGTCGGCGGCGGACCTCCCGGTCAACGCTTCCCGCCGTCTCATCACATGAGAATGGGTCCCAACGCTCCGCCCTTTGGCCAAAGACCTATGACTCCCACCCCTCCCGTCGGTGGCCCTCAGGCTATGAAGCGCTCGGTGTCTGCGATGAACGGCCCGCCCATCGGCGGCGGTCTGCCCTCTAAAGGTGTGCCAATGCCGGGAATGGGAGCTATGGGTCCGCCCTCTGGACCGTCGCATCACTCAAACCCCACAACCACTCCGTCGAAGAAGAAGAAGAAGCTGTCGGACAAGATATTGCCGCAAAAAGTACGCGATTTAGTGCCCGAATCGCAGGCATACATGGATTTGTTGGCGTTTGAGCGCAAACTGGACTTCACTATAATGAGGAAACGGCTCGACATTCAGGAGGCGTTGAAACGGCCGATGAAACAGAAGCGCAAACTCCGGATCTTTATCTCGAATACCTTCTATCCCGGGAAACCCGAGGGCGACGCCAATGAGGAGCCGTCGGTCCCCTCGTGGGAGTTGCGGGTCGAGGGACGGCTACTCGAGGACCCGAACGCACCCAAAGCCGATCAAAGCAAACTGAAGCGCAAGTTCTCGTCGTTCTTCAAGAGTTTGGTGATCGAGTTGGACAAAGACCTGTACGGACCCGACAACCATCTGGTCGAATGGCACCGAACGCCCACCACTACGGAGACCGACGGCTTTCAAGTGAAACGTCCGGGCGATAAGAATGTCCGCTGCACTATACTCTTGCTCCTCGACTACCAGCCCCTGCAGTTCAAACTCGACCCACGACTCGCCCGACTGCTGGGCATTCACACGCAGACCCGACCCGTCATTATCAACGCTTTGTGGCAATACATCAAAACCCATAAACTCCAAGACCCGCACGAAAGGGAATTCATTAATTGCGACAAATATTTGGAGCAAATCTTTCAGTGCCAGCGCATGAAGTTCGCGGAGATTCCCTCCCGACTCCACCATCTGCTCCATCCGCCCGACCCTATAGTCATCAATCACTTGATCAGCGTTGAGGGCCCCGACATGAAGAAGACCTCCTGCTATGACATCGACGTCGAAGTGGACGACCCGTTGAAGATTCAAATGAACAACTTTTTGCTCTCCACTGCGAGTCAACAGGAGATCCAATCACTCGATAATAAAATACACGAAACGGTGGACACAATAAACCAATTGAAGACGAATCGCGAGTTCTTCCTAAGCTTTTCGACAGATCCGCAACAGTTCATCAGTAAATGGCTTATCTCTCAGATGAGAGACTTGAAGGTAAGACTCAGGGCTTTGATGCCATCATTTGAACATTGATTCTGATTGTATGACTCGTTTGACAGGCGATGACAGACCAATTGGGAAATCCAGAAGAAGAACGCAATTCGGACTTCTTTTTCCAGTCGTGGACTCAGGAGGCGGTCTGTCGTTACTTCTACGGCAAAGTACAGCAAAGGAGGGCTGAATTGGAACAGGCGTTGGGCATCAGGAATGCCTGATTTCCTGACCCCTCATCGTATTATCCATTTATTGATCACTTCTTTACGATAATTACATTTTCCCCATATTTTTAAATTTAATATTTTATTTAAAATAAACCGTAAACTAAAATCTCAACTTAATTATGTCTTTTCTTAATTAATTTATTGTAATTTAATGTTCACTTTTAGTTTATAATAAATAAAATTTTTAAACATTTTGTGGGTCTCTTGTATCTGGATTTTGTAGATTCATATATATTGTCAACATTTGTATTATATTTATGACAATAAAAGGCGTGAAATTAAACATTAATTTTATTATTATTTGTTGTATTATTTTATTTATTTCTACACAATTATAATAGTTAACTTTATATACAAATTAAATGATTTCATGTAAGTATCAAAAATATAATGTAATAATAATAATTATTAATTATATAATATTCATATTTGTTGTGTTTACTAAATAAGAATTAATAATAATAAATAATATTACACAATAATTAATTACCGTGTTTAATGTCCGCATTTATTAAAAAGTTTATTAAAATTCGTATTTAAAATTCGTTTTTATTGTTGGATAAACACTAGTCTCGCAGTTTTCAATAAACAACAATTTAAATATTGCAGACCATATCTACTCATTAGTAAGAGTGTAAGTATAAGAGATTTTTTAGAAATAACTTTGATGTAATAATACTAAAATTTTACATTTATTGTGACATAACATACACTTTGTCACCAACAATACTCATATGCATGAGAGTGTTGTCCGTTAAGATTTAATCATTATTTCCGATATTCAAAACATTTTGATAGGAATTCAATATTTTTGCCAAAAGAGTGTTCAACAGATCTAAAATGAGTACAAGAATTCTATTAAACCTAATTCTTGTGTCAAGTATTGGTTCAGTAATATCTATACCAATATTGTGTTCAAACGGCAAATCAAAACACTTGGAATCATTCAATTTGATCTCAAATCTGGTCAACGATTCTTATATATTGTGGAATCAAACAGAATATTCAATATATGAGTACTCGGGTTCAGTCACTTTTTCCAATCGTTTGAACGCCATAATCATCCCAGAAAGAGGGACTAATGGGGGCTTTCAGTCTTTAAAAGACGGGGGCTTTCACTCCAATGACATGACGTTTACCATTGATTTCGATCGCTATTGCGTTAATATCCCCGAAAGGCTATATCTGTTAAGCGTACGTTTAATCAGTATTTTAATAATAATGTTATTGTCTTAACAAACATTTCAGTTCGAAAAAGCGGACAGAATTTCCTTCACTTACTTTTCAATCTACAACTGGACTTCAGTGCAATCGCTAGAACTCAAAAGCGAAGGCATCGATGCCTTGGAAGCGGTGTCTCAAACGTTTCCCATTACTAAAGATGAGTACAAGAATAAAATGAAAGCCATTCTATATTTCCGATCTTATGGACTTCTCTTTCTTTATGGTAAATGTTTAATATCACAGAACAAAATGTATGGAAAATTTAATTTACAATTATTTAAAGGCGCGGCGAAAGCGGAGTCAGCTTTGGTGTACTGTTCCTCAAAGGGATGGCAAGCGATGCTTAATGCTGTGGAATGGAAGGGAATTAAACCAAATTTCTTAAACATTAACACCGGATTTGTAGACAATGACAACCAAATTGTCTATTTATTTAGTTCTTCAGATGCTCGATTGGATCAGGATAAAATTCCGTATAAATTGCGTAAATCCTACTATGAATGCAGTTATAAACTACAGGTTTATTTGATAAAGTGATCAATAATTAAATAATAATTATAATTAAATGCATTTTTGTTGTAATCATGATATTTAATAGGAATCTAAAGTTGAGTTGGACTGCAAAAGTAAAGATATCCGCGACATGTGTTCTCTAAGCTTTTTGCAGACTTACAAGTATTGGATTGCATTAATCCTATCGATTGTGGGGATTGTGATAATTGTAATCATTTGTCTCCTAATGTGTTATCTACTAAATAGAGGCAAGAAAAACAAGCCCGATGTCAGTAGTCTTAAGCCCGACAATAGTGTTCAAATCGCTACAAATTCTTAATTAAATTGCTTTTCGAAACGTCTTTCTGTCAATTCGTCAATTTTTTAATTATTTTATTTTATATTTTCTTATTTTTTACATTTCAAATATTCTGTAAATTGTCTGTATATTAAAATAGTAATAAATTTTGTTTTTATTTATTAAAAATGTTTTTATACTAATTTTTGTTTAATTATTTAAATAATTTAATTAATAACTGATAATAGGTGTTACAAATGTTACAAATGTTGATAAATTAATGTTGGTTTATTTATTAAAATTTAACATTTATTTAACAAAGTATTTAAAAATAAATGTCTTACAGTTTCCACAAATTCAACAATAAAAACAGTTGCATTTAATGCACTTAAGTGTTATAACTTAAACAATTATTATAATTTAAATCTAATTCTATATTACCTTTTTTGTAACTATAAATCTTTTTAATATTACTTTAATAAACAAAATGATTTATAAAACACAATGGATAATAATTTTAATCTTAACATTGAGTTTGATTTCAATTGGCAAACAAGAGGTAGAAAAAGAAGCAGACAATGAAAAGCAAACTTTGAACGAAAGCGACGATTTTAAATGTTTCGACAATGAAAATAAGACGTTTGTGAAATTAAATGAGCCATTAATTACTGATTAATTAATAGTACTTTATATTTAGAGAATTGATTACAACCCAATCATCTGAGAATATTTCTGTCGAAAACACAACAACTGCTTCAGAATCAGGCGTTGATATTCACGCAATGTATTACCACAAAGTGGTCGTCAAATTGGCATTTCTCGCAGCTTTTATTATATTTTGTTATATTATTTATGAAGATTTAGTAGCAATTAAATAATTACATTTTAATTACCAAAATTATATTATTATAACTTAACAAAATGTTATACTGTATACTGTATTTAGTATGTTTCTAATGAGGAGAATATTGTTTAAAATTTAAATAGTTTTAATTTCACCGATAATAGCTTCAATATAAGTATGAATTATTGATTATTAAAAAGATTACATTATAATTGGTGTAATTAGAAGATTACATATAATAAAAGCAAAAATTTTAAAGTGAATAAACAATTCTTCGAAATAAGTGAAAGAATCACACATTGAATGCAATGGTATATCCTATGGTATCCCACGACAACCGAACCACAAAAAACTAAACAAATCAATTGTCATCTAATAGTGATTTTGATCGCTCTTTACAACTGATGTAAAATTTATACACAAGTGATCGTCAAGTGATGGCATTCTTCACCAAATTGTTATCACTATTAGGTTTTAAAAAACGTGAGGCGANAAAAACTAAACAAATCAATTGTCATCTAATAGTGATTTTGATCGCTCTTTACAACTGATGTAAAATTTATACACAAGTGATCGTCAAGTGATGGCATTCTTCACCAAATTGTTATCACTATTAGGTTTTAAAAAACGTGAGGCGAATGTACTTGTGGTCGGTTTGGACAACAGCGGGAAGACAACGATTATGAACCACTTTAAACCTCAGGAGGAGAAGTCGACAGAAATCGTGCCAACCGTTGGCTTTAATGTGGAAAAATTCAAAATCAAAAACTTAACGTTTACTGCATTTGATATGTCAGGTCAGGGAAGGTATCGCAACCTTTGGGAACATTATTACAAAGGCGTCGAAGGAATCATTTTTGTGATCGACAGCTCAGACTCTCTGAGACTAGTTGTGGCCAAAGACGAACTCGAGATGATGTTAAAACACGCAGACATCGCAACTAAACCAGCGATTCCTATACTATTCTTCGCCAACAAAATGGACTTAAAAGAGTCGCTTTCGAGCGTCAAAATCAGCCAAACACTGGGTTTGGATCAGTTCAAGAACAAAGCGTGGCACATACAGGTATGCATACACATACTCATCAGCATTACTTCATTAGTTAGTCAAAGTATTCAATCATTAGCGCCTTATTTATGAACAATACAGTGAATAATTATCAAAAACTGTTAAAACCAGTGATTGTTTGAATAAACAATTAGTTTATAAGTTTTGCATATTTTTGATAAACTGTATTTAGATTTAGATTCTTTAATGTAAATTCAAATTCAAACTTTTTATTTTACTATTTTACTAAACGTGTTTAATTAAAATGACATTACAATAACTATCAGCACATAATTTTAATAATTTATTATATTTTTTTTTGATCACATGAAAGCCATCTAGCTAATTTAATAAATCTATGAAATCCTAACAAATTTTTTTATTTTATATGTATATTAATTTTAAGTTAATAATTAATATAGCATTAAATCCGGAGCTTACGTCACTGGCCGCTACCTGACTACCTGCCGTAGCTCACCAAATCTGAACAACTTATGCAACAAAACAAATAATTGAATCTCAAGATTTTAATAAACTGATAATATTTCCTACAGTAAGACAAAGTTAGTAGTTTGTTAATATATCTTTGATAATAAAGCCACAATAAACATTTCTAAGTCATTATCTAAGTTACAAATGAGGTTATCTTTTGTATTTTATTAAAAACAAAAACTTATATTAATTGCAAAATGAAAACATTTAACAAAAATGAATTACAATAAGTAATTGTGAAAAATATATTAAATTGAAAATAATTAGCGATTAAACGACGAGTTGTCGAGTCGGGGGACAAATAGGTATCGATTGAAATGTGAATGATTTCGATTCATATTGTTTAATGTCTTGTGGCGTTAAATCAGATGCTTTCGAGTAAATGCCATCGTTTGGTCCATTAGCTATAGTGTTTGGAACCGATGTCCTGTTGGCCATTGGATCCATTTTTGGTGATATCAACGGCTTGTTTACTCCAAAACTGAAGTTTGATTGCGAATGACTCGCAAAAGGTATTGGCTGTGAAGCAGTGTTGGGTCGCATCGGTTGGGCAGCCGTTGCCTCCATATCCATGTCGTCCATCACTACTCCATCACCGCTTGATATCTGTTGAAGAGTGCGATTGAAGCTAAAGGTTGCGACCCTTTGGTTGGGAACCGATTGGTTATTACTGTTCGACAATTGAAACGAATTTCGGCCGAACGAAGAGTTTTGTGTCTCATTTGATCTATAGTTTGACGGATTGCCACTCAACTGAAGCCTTTGCGGAAACACTGGACTCGTATTACTTGTGGTAATCTTATCGAGTGTTCGGTTAAAACTGAAGCCAACCGAAGACCTGTTGGATGTGTTAAGCGACGGCTGCTGTTGCTGTCGGCCATCGGATCGGTTGTTATATGTCTTGGAATAATCTACAGACAAATGAAACGGATTAGTGATGGCGTTAGGGATGAGTGATATGATAGGGTGTATGACATGAGATGACAACTGACACGACTCTGTGCTGTCGTTGTGTTGGATGTGTTGAAAGCGACAGTTATTGCCGTAACGACAATAACCGGTGGCATAAAACTTGCAAATTGTCATCACTTCTCAGTTCTTGTCATCACTTCTCACCACTATATCAGACAATCAGTACTCAAAACAATCGCTCAATTTTGGTCGACAACACATGTGTCGTAACGGTATATATGAACGACTCATTCGCTGTAAACAACACACAAACCAAAGATTGAATGCTTTTATGGTTTTGTGAATTAAACCTAAAATCTGTATTGAATTGAAATGTTGTGTCCATTTGTGTCGACCGGACAGACAATCGCCGGCCGATTGGCGGCCAAAGTCGGGCCGTGTGTTGAGTACCGGTCAGTGAAGGCATTGCACACCTCGTGCTGTCTGTCAGGAAAGAGGAATTTCCGCAAATTCCCGATCCCTAACCAGAGGACACAGTTTGAACACAACAAACTTCCCGCTAGGCTTATGAACCGGGAATACGATTATCCCGTGAGTCGGGACACACTTCACGTGAAATATCCCGGCTTTTGGTTCCGCAAAGAGTTTGTTTACGTCAAGGAAATGGAGCCCCAATTGGTTGTTCCCGATCTGAAGGACTTCCCACTCAAGCCGTACGTGTCCTACAGGTGTCCGGACATCACTCAGACTGAGTTCACCGCCAGAGACCTCTTCAACGCCACTCTCGCCGACGCTATTATTGAGAAGTTTAAAAGCGGTCAACACATCGATGTCAATGTCACCGATGAAGCGGTGAATGAGGCCCGCAATCGCGCCAAACAGACCGGTGCCGACATGTTTATGGGCACAACTGTCCACGGAATCCAATAGACACCTGTATTTGTCTTTTTGTCAATTAGTGATCATTTCATGTAATCATTAGATTTGCTTCTTATATGTGATTAAAGACTAATATATTTATGTAATGTTTGCATAAATAGTAACAATTGTTATTCAAATAGTAATTGTAATCATAAATAAATATTTGATTTAAATGTTTGTAACTATTAATCACTTCAACTTCAGCTACAAAACCCTCCTCTCTTCTTCGCCGGTTTGGGTGGCGTTAGCGCCGACCACATCGAAGATCATATAGTCCTCGGCTCGGATGGTCTCTCCGTACTCATCCCACTTGATCTTGCGTTCGGGCGCCNTCTCTCTCTCTCTCTCTCTCTCTCTCTGACAATTAAAATGTGATAATTATAATGCAATTATACTTTTAATTGTTAGTCAGAAATAATTAAAAGTGTATTTCTTATAAGTTATAACACTTTGTGTAAAATTGAAAGTTTGAAACTTGAATGTGGTTTTGGATGAAGTGAAGAGACAGTCACCAGATGTCAGACAACGAGTCAAACACTGTATCCACACTTCGGACACATTTATTGTCTCATTTTTGCACTCATTTCACAATTTATTCGTTAATTAATTATAATTTATATTAAATTCAAAACACGTTTTAAGAGATAATCAATAAGACATTAAACGACTCTTTGGTTTGACTTGAAGTCAAGTAAAAGACAATTGACTTCTAGTTTGTAACCATATATAGAGTGGAGAAACAAAAGAAGCGTTTAGTAAACGAAACAAAACAATAGGTTTTGTGCCGAAGACGAGGAGACAATCACATGACCGGCGATGACGTCGATAATCCGGTTCGAAGCACACCCGCCACACAGCCGGCTGTCAGGCCGGAGAATAAATGATGTTCAGCTACTTAAGTCCAAAGAAAACCTGACGCCAACCCTACTCTACAACAGGCTTCTGATGCAGTTTGTTGACCAGTTTGTACTCAAACAAATCGACGCCATTCTTGTCTCACATCCAGACGCACACCATTTGGGTATTTATACGGCCGACTCTCGCGACCAGATCTGTGGTCAACTGAGTCCATACGGCCGACGCATCGGCCAAATGGCTAATCGTATTGTATTTGTCACTTCCGATCACAGGATGTCTGCCATATCTGGTGGGAAAGTGTGGCCTGAATTGCGAGGTCTACGCGACGACACCCGTCTATCTGATGGGACAGATGTTTATGTATGACTTGTTTCAGTCGCGACGAAACAACGAGAACTTTGATCTCTTCACTCTCGATGACGTGGACGCGGCCTTTGATAAAGTAATTCAAGTGAAGTACAACCAAACGATTGCACTGAAGGGCAAAGGCCAGGGACTAACGATCACGCCCTTACCGGCCGGACATATGATCGGCGGAACCATTTGGCGCATCGTTAAAGACGGCGAAGAGGACATCGTCTATGCGGTCGACTTCAACCACAAGAAGGAGCGTCACCTCAACGGCTGTGTCTTAGAGACCATCAGTCGGCCATCGCTTCTCATAACCGACGCGTTTAACGCCAATTACGTTCAGGAGAGGCGTCGCAAACGCGACGAACAGCTCATCACTAGTATTATGGCTACTCTTCAGAGCGGCGGCAATGTGTTGATAGCGGTGGACACCGCGGGCCGAGTGCTAGAGTTGGCCCACATGTTAGAGCAGTGGTGGCGTAACCAAGAGTCAGGGCTAATGACCTATCCGTTGGTTTTGTTAAATAACTTCAGTTATAATGTGATTGAATTCGCGAAGTCTTTGGTTGAGTGGATGTCCGACAAACTGATGCGCTCTTTCGAAGGCCAACGCAATAATCCATTTCAGTTCAAACACTTGCAATTGTGTCACAAATTGTCTGATATGGACCGACTTGTGGAGCCCCGAGTGGTTCTCGCCTCACAACCGGACTTAGAGTGCGGCTATTCTCGTGACTTATTCTTCAATTGGTCAACAAATCCCAAAAACTGTATTATTTTGACCCAAAGGTGTTCTGCGGGCACTTTAGCCCATCAGCTGATGAACAGCCAAAGGGGACGACTCATCACATTAGAGATTAAACAAAGAGTTCCTCTCAAAGGACTCGAATTAGAAGACTATCGAAGACAAGAGAATCTTAAGAAGAGTAAACTGAACGCAACTAACGATACGTCAGGTGTCGGCGAATCGGACTCCGATTCCGATGAGAACAACGAGAGCGAAGAGGAAGAGGAGGTGATGGAAGTGGAAGAGGGCGGCAATAAGAGTCCAGTGGCCGGTAGTTTTGCCACCAGTAGTGGCGGCGCATCTCATGCAATGCATGGACACCAGAACGCCATTAAACACGACCTAATGATGCCTAAGAATGAGGGCAAAGTAAAAGGCGGCGGTTTCTTCAAACAGGCCAAGAAGTCGTACCCTATGTTTCCGGCGCCCGAACGCAAGATCAAGTGGGATGAGTACGGAGAGACCATCCGAGCCGAAGACTATATGATCTTCGATGTGGTCGGCGCTAACGCCACCCAAACCGGCGAAGAAGAGAACAAAGAGAACGTGAAGAGAGACGGAACCGAAGAACCCATACCTGAGACTCAAGAGGTGCCAACAAAATGTGTGGTTAATGTCCAGACGTTTAACATTCACGCAAACATTCAATACATTGACTTTGAAGGCAGATCTGACGGCGCGTCCATTCAGAAGATTGTTTCGATGTTAAAACCTCGTCGACTGATTCTGGTTCGCGGCTCAGCCGAAGCCACCGAATCGATGGCAACCTATTGTCGCGATTACGTGTCCGACAAGATATTTATACCGAAACTGCACGAAATGATTGACGCGACGACTGAGAGCCATATATATCAGGTTAAACTGAAGGACTCTTTGGTGAGTTCGTTGTCATTCGCTCACTGCAAAGACGGAGTGGAGCTGTCGTGGGTCGAGGCAGAGATCGAATTGACTCATATCGAGTCTCTTTTGCCGCAAAAAGAGTCGGAAAAGACCGACGATTCGACTAAAGACGGCCAAAAGGCCGACGACAACAGCGCTGAGATGGGCGGCCGAGAGCTGCTGCCAACTCTACGCCAACTGCCATCCAATCAGATCCCATCGCATCCGACCATTTTTGTCAATGACCTCAAACTGTCGGACTTCAAGCAAATATTGATGAAGAGTGGCATTCAGGCCGAGTTCTCGGGAGGCGTTCTCTACTGTAATAATCAGGTGGAGGTCAGACGGAGTGAGTTCGGGCGCATACACCTCGAGGGCACGCTTTCCGACGACTACTACAAAGTTAGGAAAATACTGTACGAACAGTACGCTATCATTTAGTGCTCGTGTTTTTGTTACCATTTTTAGTCGTCTATTAAATCAAATAATTGTGAAAAACATGTTTTCTGTGTTTGATTTCATTTTATATACGATAAGACTTTAATATTTTATAATTTAATTAATTAGAATATTTATTAAAATCCAGACTTTATCGATATTGATAATGATTACCATCTTTTTTGCCACAATTCTTGTAAAATAAATTTACCATTTATTTAAAGTTTATTTTTAAATTAAAATAAATTCATTCAAATAATTATGCATTTTGTATGACTTATTGACTGAATTTGAAGCCAATTATGGTGTCATTCAGTCTCTCACTTATCTATTAATTCATTTCGAAACTAAATAATCAATAATATGTTTAAGTAATCATCGGATGACAACAAATATAAACATAAATTACTTTTAGATAAATCCAAAAGTACTTGAAAAGATTTCCAATCAAATCGCACTTCAATTCAATTGACAAAAAATGTATTTAAAATTTGATTTTCATTCACATATTTTACCCGAAAATTGGCCCAATTTGGCACAAGTGAGACATTTTATAATACATTTCCATTCAATAGTAATTGATTTGATTGTAAATAATACCCAAGAGATGTGGTTATACGGGTTGGATAAGTATGAAACACACGGACGACGGCAAAGCTCTTATGATGAAAGATGACGGCACTGTCTTCCGTCCCGTTGACCATAAGGTTTGGTCCACTTCTGTGCGTCTAAAGGATATGGAAGATACGGGTAATTATTGAAGTCTTCGCCGCTATTGCTTATGTTTTTGGTTTGTATTTAAAATAATTAAATTAAATATTATAGGAGTGACGGTTCAAGTCCTGTCAACAGTGCCCGTAATGTTTAGCTATTGGGCCAAACCTAACGATACGGCATATTTGTGTAGATTGTTAAACAATCATCTAGCTTCTGTAGTGAGAAGCAATCCGACCAAGTTTGTCGGGTTGGGCACAATTCCAATGCAATCGCCTATTCATGCCGTCGAGGAAATGAAAAGATGTAAAATGGATTTGAAATTAAATGGTCTCATAATTGGCAGTCATGTCAATGAGTTAGGTCTCGACGATCCAATGTTTTACCCCATTTGGAAAGCGGCCGAAGAGTTAGATTTTCCACTTTTCCTCCATCCCTGGGATATGCAAATGAGTGGCCGTTTCTCTAAATACTGGTTGCCATACATCGTGGGAATGCCAGCCGAGACTTCCGGAGCCGTACTGGCGATGATATTCAGCGGTGTTTTGGAGCGGTTTCCTAAACTGCGGATAGCGTTAGCCCACGGGTCAGGAATGTTGCCCTATATTATCGGTCGCGCAGAGCATGGCTTTCATGTATATCCAGCAGATTTCAAAGACAATCCATTCCCGCCCTCTAAATATATGGGAAGAATATTTTGCGATTCTCTGGTCCACAGCGAAGGAGCACTCAATCTGGCGCTCAATACTTTCGGAGAAGTACTGAAAATATTATTTTTGTTTTTTATTGCAAAACATAATAATAATTATTAATTGAATGCAATTTATCTTAGGATTCGATATTTCTTGGAAGTGATTATCCCTTTCTGTTGGGCGAACACATCCCGGGCTTAATGATAGAGAAAAGTCAACATTTGAGCGATTGCTTGAAAAAGAAACTCTTGAGTGAAAATGTTTGTAAATTCCTCGACATTGATGTCAATCGATATTCTATCTGAACATTGAATGCAAAGTCCTCTCAACTCTTATCGTGTTTTAGTATCAATTATAGAGAAATCCTTTTTATTGATTAAATGCTTTCAGAAACTGTTTTTTAAATCAATTTTCAAAGATAAACGAAATCAAAAACTTTTTCTATAAAAAAAATAAACGCTTTAGACATTCAATTTTTGATGAAAAATTATTTATTAATGACTTTAAGCGATAAACTCTTACATCAATTGATAAATAGACTTAAATACATGTTATTTATAGCACATAATTAAATATATGACAAACATTATAATTGTAATCCAAATATTGATTGAAAAACTTTAAAAAAATAAACCATAAAAAGCCTATAAGAAACTAATCCTTAAGCCCATCATAATTGCTATAAAATATAAGTTATTTAAACAACAATACAAATATTGCATAATAAATTTACATGCTATATTCTCTGCATTAAATGTTATCACAAAAAAACATAATTTGAATGACACGCGAATTAATTAATTAATTGTTAAAAAAATATATATAATAAGTAAAATGTTAAAAGTTGATAATATTTTAAATAAAATACTGTTTAAAATACGTGTGAATTAGTTGTGGAAGTGATGGGAAAAGCGAAGAGAAGTAATTTGGAGCGATTGAAGGGATTGAAGGAATCGGAAAGAAGTGAATTGAAGAAAACCATGTCTTACGACGACTTCAAAACCGATTTAGCGATTATTAAAGCGGAAAGACATCGACAGAGAATTATTGCCATCAGAAAAACACTTTTAATAATTTGTATGGTTTTGTTGTATTGGTATTCGGGAAATATAATGGCTTTGATTTATGTGATTCTAACCGAAGGATTTGTGGCAATCAATCACACCATTGGACTCGTCTATAATCTAATGGGAATTCTATCGATAATTATATTTGAAACAAGTATTAGAGGAAAGTCGATGGCGTTAAACACAATATTCTTGATTATTATGTGGATTTACTTAACGGCCAGTTTATGTGGAAATATTATTTTTATTCTCTACTTTTTCTCCGCCTTCAAAATCTATTTAGATAAAAAATTTAATAAATTTAGCCTCAATTTTCATCAATGGGATTTCATTTCGTCCATCGTTTTGTCAATCGTTTATATTTTAATAGTAGTGTTTGCGTTGGTTTTGAGGGCAACGATATTTAAGTTTAGAAAATACGATCAAATGATTAAAGAAAAATCAAAAAACAATAATAATAAATAAATTCAATATTAAAACTAATTATTTTTATTACTAATAATCTGTTTTAATAAATATACTTTATAATAAAATGGTTTAATAATTTTAAAAAACTAATGTCAACTTTTATTATCATTTTTTATAATAAATATCAAATACTAAATTAGAGAGAGAGAGAGAGAGAGAGAGAGAGAGAG